TGAGTCCGGACGTGAGGACCACCTCCACCACGACCCACAATGCACTGTTCCTCCCAGCGGCCGAGAACCTGGAGTACATGGGCCTCGCTCCAGTTCGCTAGAAAACCCGGGACCACAGACCCGGTTTAGACCTGGTCCAGTCCTGGGATTCCAGTTTTATGGACTATAAAATATGTCCTGTTTTAGACCCGGTTTACTCCTGGTTTAGACCCAATTTGGTCCTGATTTAGACCCAGTCTAGACCTGGTTTAGTCCTGGTTTAGTTCTGGTTTTCACGCACGTCTGTCTCATATTTTCCTGTAGAAACTGGAGCACATTTTTATGAAGAATTTTAATTCGTATTCGTCCATTTTATGTTTTTTTGTGTTTTTTTACAAATCTTCCAGAACTTTAAACTTTTTTTTAAAAATGGAAATACACTTTTAAATCAGAATTTTGTTTTATTTTTATCGTTTTAAGTCTCTGAACATTTGGAGCGCAGCGGTAAAAATTCTCAGGGAACAGAATGGATCTTTTAAACTTTGAAATTTGAAACTGTCTAATCTAGTCTAGATCTAGACCTGGTTTAGTCCTGGTTTAGTCCTAGTTTAGTCCTGGTTTAGTCCTGGTTTAGTCCTGGTGTAGTCCTGGTTTAGTCCTGGTTTAGTCCTGGTTTAGTACCGTTGTAGACCCTGATCTGATCCTGGTTTAGTCCTGGTTTAGTCCTGATTTAGTCCTGGGTTAGACCTGGTTTAGTTCTGGTTTAGTCCAGTTTTAGTCCGTGTTTACGTCACGAAACAAAAACTCTTCCAGTATCGAAGCTTTGAACATTTTTCACGTTTTAAACTCTTGATCAGATCTGAGTTCTCGTCTCCGCCCCCTCGTGTACATACCTGTAAATATTTGTACTAATACTTTGTGGTACTGCACGGTAAAAGTATTTTGTGAGTAACTTGAACATTCCTCAGGAGCTTTTGTGGATCTGAGCCTGATTTAGTCCTACTGTTTAATCGAAAGGCTGCTGCGAGTCTGGGTCCTCGTCCTGGTCTGGTCCTGGTCTGGGTCCTGGTCCTGGTCCTGGTCTGGGTCCTGGTCCTGGTCCTGGTCCGGGTCCTGGTCCGGGTCCTGGTCCGGGTCCTGGTCTGGGTCCTGGTCTGGGTCCTGGTCTGGTCCTGTCCTTAACAAGAGTGAATCCAGGTTTAGTTCTAGATTAGACCCCAGTGAGTTCTGCTTTAGACCTGGTTTAGTTCTGGTTAGTCCAGGTGGAGAGGTGGACTGGGCAGGTCCAGAGGAGGGTGAGAGGAAGATCAGTGGAGGGTCAGAGGAGCAGAGTTGAAGGTCAGAGGAGCAGAGTTGAAGGTCAGAGGAGAAGGTCAGATGTTGGTCCTGGAGTCGGTCCTGGTTTAGTTCTCAGACTCTCAGCAGCCTGTGCACTGTTGATGGTTGAATGTTATGAACATTTGTGTAGCATTGTGTGTTTTGTTCGTTTTGTTCATTTTGTGTGTAAAATCGTGTTTACAGTCGCTGTTTCACTGAACCTGAATGTGTCGTTTCTCGTGACCATCACCTGCTCCTCACGATCACTGCAAATCCAATAAACGTCTCTTTAAACCTCCTCGTTCTCGTTCTCGTTCTTGTTGTTGTTGTTGTTTGTTCTTTTGGTTAAATCTGGAGTTGACACAGTTTCAGTTTCACACTTGAACTTAAAGTATTTGTACTTCAAAACTCAGTACTGTACTGCAGTACAGAGAGCAGCTGGAGCAGCTGGAGCAGCTGGAGCTTCTGTCGGCGGAAACATCTCCAACCGTAAATACAAAACACAAACAAAAGCAGCTCGTTTCACTCTGAGGATTTTCTCTAAAACACAGTGAACGGAATGAATCTCCTGTGGAGTTTTGTGTTCAGTTTTCAGTTTGGGATGGAAAAGTGTCCGTTACCATGGAAACCCCACATGTTTATACACGAGACAAAAACGACGTGAAAAGTAAAAAACACACACACAAAAACACACAAACACACAGACACACACAGACAAACACACACAAACACACAAACACACACACAAACACACACACACAGACACACACACACAAACACACACACAGACACACACACAAACACACACAAACACACAGACACACACACACACACACACACACACACACACACACACACACAACACACACACACAGACACACACAAACACACACATAATCTGCTGATCTGTTTGTTTTGAGGAGGTTTTTCAGGGTGAGAAAGGAGATTTGTTCGTTTCACATTTAACACATTTTAATGAACCTGATTAACTCGAATCTTCTGGAGAAACACGATTTACAAAAGTGAAAAAGGATCAAACATAAAACCGAGTCTTTAAAACTCCCACAGGAATCGTTAAATCCAGACAGCGGCAGGTTGAGCCTCGACACAATTACACCAAGATCCTCTTTACTCACCTCCGTCAATTTGAATTTAAAGACAAAAAAGAATCAAATAAAATACTAAGAAAGAATGAGTGCACTAAACACTTTCCAATTAATATCATAAAAAATAGAATAAATGAAGCTTTCATTTCCAATCTCTCCTAAAGCAAAAGAAACTCATTTTACAATTTTAAATAAAATATTTATCCCTGTAATGATTTTTTGGAGACCAATAAAGTGCATATTTTCTGAAATAGAAACGGCTGAACAAACACAGCAAAAAGTGGAGTGTTAAAATTGACTCTCACAGAATCAATTTTAACATTTTCTCAGAGTTTATATGAGTCCAATCTGTTCTAGAGTTAATTTAACATTTTTGGAAATGTTAATTAAGTAAAACTGGACCAAAGTTCCTGTTTAACCCAGAAATCCAGAGTTATAATTCACGTTTAGAGAGTAAACAGAAAACACTTTGCAGAGTTATACTGATTTAGCTAAACAACACACAGAGGAGTTTTATTTTATTTTTTACTTTATTTTAGTTCATTTAAGATTTAATTATGAACAAAACTGGTTCAAACTGGTTCTTCTCAAGAGTTTGAAGTGGTGAATGGGAGGAGCCAAATTAACACTAGAGGAAGTTGAATTAACCTCAACCACACAACCACACTTTTGGTGTTAAAAACAACTCTGAAATATTTTACCGTAAAATTTTAACCCTCCAGTTTTTGCTGTGAACAGTCTGTGCTCTCATACTGTATATTTGTTCTTTTATTGTGTTTGTATCAGAACATTTTGTGATTCGTTTCAAACGTGGACGATGGAACATGACACAGTTTTATGCCATTATTTATTATCTGTTTTATTGTACGTTACCTTTTCCTGCTGTTCTGGAATTGTGCTTTGCAACACTGGAATTTCCCCACTGTGGGACTGATAAAGGCTTATCTTCTCTTCTCTTATTTACCTCATGAAACCCATAAGGACAAAGTAAAATATGGAGTCATTTTGCAAGACAAATTCATTTTTCCATAATTCTTGCTTATTACAGTCAAACAGTTTATTCATAAATACAAATTCTCAAATATAAAACTTTTGTTCCAAATTTATCATAATGATTTTTTGTTTGTTTGTTTTTTGCTATTTAAAAGCTCCTTGTGTCATATTAAATCTAAACAAACTGTTAGAATGAATCATTTTAAACAGTCAGATGGATCAGATTTACTGCTTTATATTTGGATTGTATTTATTTATTTATTTACCAGTCTGAATAATTTACCTTTTTGACATTGTTGAACAGTTTATTCTGTATTACCAGCACTGATTTAAAATAAAGCAAACATAAAAGCATCTTTAAAACATTAAACATTCTCTGTTGTGACGTCACGATGTGGAGCTCTGTTGCTCCATCTGCCGGTCACTGACGGAACTGCACAGGAGCGTGTCTGATTTACTTTTCCAGGTTCAATAAAGCAAAATATAAAACTAAAACAAACTAAATCCACCTGAAGGAGCTGCAAGAAACACAAAGGTTCAGATTATTTCATATCGTCGACATAAAACTTTTGTCACTTGTAGAAAAATAAAAGTGTGCTGCTATAAGTCAAATTTCTTTAAAAAAATACTCAATAACTGAGTACAATTCACCTCTGAAAATGGACTGGAGCCGCACATGAACAATAATTACAAAACCTTTTCAAAGCACAATAGCAAATTAATATTTTGTCCTTCCAATGATCTTCACTTTCAACTAGAAATGTAACGTTAAGCCCCGACAGTTTCTCTTTAAGTTACTCTTACTTGAGAAATACCTTTCCCAAATACTTTTTTCCTCTCTTGACTCTTCTTGAGTCACTACTTTGTATTTCTACTTGACTAATATTACTTTCTGAAGTAATGTCAGTGCAGGTTTTGCCATCTCTGTAAATTTTATAGTATTTTAATTTGTAAAATCGAGGAAAAAAAAAAAGGTGTTGTTTTCTCTGCTCATTTCCATTTGTGCCAAGGTCCATAGTCCCACTGGATTTATCCAAGAACCAAACAACATTTACTGATTAACCCGAGTCATCAGACCTGCTCGTCCAAAACAAAAAAAACAAACAAAAAAATGAAAATAAAAGAAAAAAGGAAAAAAGAAGAAAAAAATAATAAATAAAAAAACACAAAAAAACGAATAAATAAATATAAGTAAACAAACAAATAAATAAACAAAGAAAAAAATAAATAAATAAAAGAAAAGAAAAGAAAAAAATGAAAAAAGAAAAAAAACATAAAAAAATAAAAATACAAAAAAAAATAAATAAATAAATAAATAAACAAAAAAAAAAAAACAAAGAAAAAACAAAACAAAACAAAGAATAATAATAATAATAATAAAAAAAAAGACCCGCTCGTCTCTTGAACACTTTTAACACTTTTATTGTGTAAAGCGCGTCCGGAAGTGCTCAGAGTGCAGCTTTATAACCGCACACGTAAACATGCCGTCGCCTCTGAGCTACTTTAAACCCGCATTTTCTCGCTTTTCTCACTTTTCTCACTTTTGTCGCGTTTTTCCGCAGCTCCGGAGCCGAAACGTCCAACCGAGGCGGCGCACATCAAACGAACACCCCGGTCACCATGACAACCGCGGTGAGCTCGCGCCGAGGCTAACGCCAGGCTAACCCTACTAACGGTGAAAATGTTCAAATAAAGTGTCCGAAAAAAACCTCCGCGCTGTGACATGAATGAAAACAGGTTCAGAGATTCTTTACGGATTTGGGGAATGTTTTTACTCGCCGGTTGAGTTTATTTTTGGATCAGTTAAGCGTCGTAAAGTTTTCAAATAGTCGCACTTGTTGCTATTTCCGTTTGTCAAGTTAGCGGCGGTTAGCTTTAGCTTTAGCTAAAATCCAATATAATAATAATAATAATAATAATGTTTATTTGTCAGCTCTACAAATGTAAGTTACTGTGTTTTATTTGTACAGTTTATTTTTCGTAATTCTTTTTATTACTTGAATCTGGGAGCAGATTTTCAGAATTAAAAACTGGGACAGACTCGAGTTGGGATGTTGGTGTAAATAAAATATAAAAGAAAATAGGGGGGAAAAAAAAGGTTTAACATTGTCCATCCTCGACTTACAAATGTAATTTATGCTCTTCTGGTTTAGACCTGAAATAGACCCAAAGTAGTCCTGGTTTAGTCCTACGTTAGACTTGATATAGTCGTGGTTTAGCCCTGAAATAAACCTGATGTAGACCTGGTATAGTCCTAGTTTAGACCTGGTTCAGTTCTAGCTTTGCCCTGGTTTTTCCGTGGTTTAGACCTGATATAGTCCTAGTTTAGACGTGGTTTAGAGCTGGTTTAGACCTGAAATAGACCTGACATAGTCCTGGGTTAGACGTGGTTTAGACCTGAAAGAGACATGGTTTAGTCCTAGTTTAGTCCTATTTTAGACCTGAAATAGCCCTGATATAGACCTGGTTTAGACCTGGTTTACACCTAATATAGTCTTGGTTTAGTCCTGGTTTAGATCAGATTGGTCAAAAACAGAGACACTGGGACATTTCTTGTATAAAATTGGGACATTTCTTGAGTGGTTTTGTATAAATCTGCGGGGACAGAGGACACAGGCTCAGAGCTGGGACGGTCCCGGGGACACGGGGACCGTCACGGGGACACGGGGACCGTCCCGGGGACACGGGGACCGTCCCGGGGACACGGGGACGTCTGGACTCTACACTGGTGTTGTTCAACAAGAGCAAACTGTAGCTCATGAACCTGTGTGTGTGTTTTGTCATGTTACTGTCAGTTAAAGGTTTTTGTTGTTGCAGTTGACGGTGTTCGTCCACTAGATGGAGTCAGAGTCCTGGATTTGACCAGGTAAAACTCTAAAAGATCAAACTCACACAGACATTTATCAAAATTAAAACTAAATCAGTTAAAGAGTGTGTGGAGTATTGTGTTTTTTTGTTTTTGTTTAGTTTTTTTCTCTCTTTCCTGCAGAGTTCTGGCCGGTCCCTTCGCCACAATGCTCCTGGGAGATCTGGGAGCAGAGGTCATCAAAGTGGAGAAACCAGGTCTGACCCTTAAACCAGGAGCCAGGACTAAAACAGGACTACAACAGGACTAAACCCAGATCAAATCAGACCAAACCTGGACTGAAAAGTGAGACTGAACAAGAAATGAGCCAGCCCAGAGAAACTAGAGTCTTACTGTAAAACAAGTTTGAACCAGGACATAACCAGGACTAAACCAGGACTAAACCAGGACATAACCAGGACTTAACCAGGATTTAACCTGGACTCAATCAAGTTTAAACTAGGAGTAAACCCAAACCAAACCAGGACTGAAACAGATTTAACCAGGACTAATCTAAATCTAAAACAAGTTTAAACTAGGACTGAACCAGGACTAAACCAAGAACAAACCAGCTCTAAACCAGATCTATACCAGGACTAAACCCGACCTAAACCTGGACTAATCCAAATTTAATACAAATTGTAAACCAGGTCTAAACCAGGTCTAAACCAGGACTGAGCCAGGACTAAACCAAGACCAAACCAAGACCAAACCAAGTCTAAACCAGGACTAAACCTGGACTGAATCAGGTCTAAACCAGCTCTATACCGGGATTAAACCTGGACTATCTCAGCCAGGACTCAACCAGACCTAAACCAGGACTAATCCTAATCTAATACAAGTTTGAACCTGTTGTAAACCAGGACTGAACCAGGTCTAAACCAGGACTAAACCCAAACTAAACCGGAACTAAACCCAAACTAAACCAGGACTAAACCAGGTCTGAACCCTGCCGTGTGTTGCCCAGGTTCAGGAGACGACACGAGATCCTGGGGTCCTCCGTTTGTGGGGTCACAGAGCGTTTACTTCCTCAGCGTCAACAGGAACAAGAAGGTGACGAGAAAGAAACACTAAAAAAACAAAAGCACCTGAGAGGATGAGAGGGTGAGAGGATGAGAGGGTGAGAGGATGAGAGGGTGAGAGGATGAGAGGGTGAGAGGGTGAGAGGAGAGATGAGAGGTGAGAGAGGGTGAGAGGGTGAGATGAGAGGATGTGAGAGGATGAGAGGATGAGAGGGTGAGAGGGTGAGAGGATGAGAGGATGAGAGGGTGAGAGGGTGAGAGGGTGAGAGGGTGAGAGGGTGAGAGGGTGAGAGGGTGAGAGGATGAGAGGATGAGAGGATGAGAGGGTGAGAGGGTGAGAGGGTGAGAGGATGAGAGGATGAGAGGGTGAGAGGGTGAGAGGGTGAGAGGATGAGAGGGTGAGAGGATGAGAGGAGAGGTGAGAGGATGAGAGGGTGAGAGGGTGAGAGGATGAGAGGGTGAGAGGATGAGGGGTGAGAGGATGAGGGGTGAGAGGGTGAGTGGATGAGAGGGTGAGAGGATGAGGGGTGAGAGGATGAGGGGTGAGAGGGTGAGAGCACAAGGTGGTGGTGAGGTGGTGAGATGTTGATGTGGTGATGCGGTGAGGTGGAGAGGTGATGATGTCATGAGGTGATGATGTCATGCTGTGGTTTCAGAGCATCGCCGTGGACATGAAACACCCACGAGGAGCTGGAGTCATCAGAGAGGTACACATCTGTGTGTGCTGCTGCTCATCACCGAGTGTGTGTGTGTGTGTGTGTGTGTGCGTGCGTGTGTGAGACAGGACTGACCCGCAGACACAGAGTTTAATCAAACAAACACGAGACGGAACTAAAACTAACAAAAAAAACGAATCACCAGACCAACGCCTCGACTCACGACTCGTCTGACACACAGTTTACACACACACACACAGTCTAGACCAGGACACACACACACTCACACACACACCACGACTCAGCATCTACAGTGTGACTCGAGACACACACACACGACAGGAACATGGACCTGAGCTATTTTACCAAACAACTCTGGTCAGGACCTGGACCACATAAACAGGTCACACACTTTCACACACACTGTCTCTATGAAAGTGTGTGTGAAAGTGTGTGTGTGTGTATAGTGTGTGTGAGTGTGTGTGAAAGTGAGTGTGTGTGTGTGAAAGTGAGTGTGTGTGTGTGTAAAAGTGAGTGTATGTGTGTGTAAAAGTGTGCGTGTGTGTGTGTGTGTGTGTGTGTGTAGTGTGTGTGTGTGTGTGTGTAGTGTGTGTGTAGTGTGTGTGTAGTGTGTGTGCGTGTGAGTGTGAAAGTGTGTGTATGTGTGTGTAAAAATGTGTGTGAGTGTGTGTGTAAGTGTTGTTGGTGTGAAGGTCCGTTGGCACAGATCAGCAGCCTCGTTTCTGTCAGTCTGCCCCAGGGCGGCTGTGGCTGTGTGTGACTGCAGAACACACTGTAAACATCTGAGTGTCTTGAAAGACGATGATATAAATCCATAATTTAATAATTTAAATAATAAAATAAAATACAAGATGAATCCCAATCAAACTGAAATCTGAATTATTATTATTATTATTATTATTATTATTATTCATGATGAGTTCTTTCTGAGGTGTGGATTTGTCTCTGGTCCTGTCTCTTTCTCAGTCTCTGGTCTCAGTCTTGTCTCTGGTTCTGGTTCTTTTCAGTCGTGTCTTGGTTTCGGTCTCAGTCTTGTCTCTGGTTCTGGTTCTTTTCAGTTGGCCCGTGTGAGCGACGTCCTGGTGGAAAACTTTCTTCCGGGGAAACTGTCGGAGTTTGGTCTGGGACCCGAGCAGCTCCGAGAACAGAACCCACAACTCATCTACTGCTCCATCTCAGGTACGGACAGACCCGGGACAGACCCGGGACAGACCCGGGACAGACCCGGGACAGACCCGGGACAGACCCGGGACAGACCCGGGACAGACCCGGGACAGACCCGGGACAGACCTGGGACAGACCTATGAAATACATCGTCAGTTGGCCTGGCTGCATGTAAGAGGAAGGGTTAAGTGCTCTTTGATTAAATTCATTAGAAACCTGATAGTCGCAAAAACACCTGAAATACTGTATTGTAAATTAACTATGTTCGGTGACGTGCATCAGTACTGCAAAAGACAGTCAGGTGAAAGTCGCTTTTTGTCACCGGCCTGTCGCTCAAATCAAATCCAGAGGACAGTGTGCTGTAGAGCAATGGTGGCATGGAACTCACTCCCACAGTTCCTCATCTCGGGAATGTGGACGCTTAGTTTTCATCTTCACTCGGGGTTAGTATTGTTGGAATAGTTGTAATTACCTTCGCCAAGGAGGTTATGTTTTTGCCGGCGTTTGTCTGTTTGTCTGTTTGTTTGTTTGTCTGTTTGTTTGTTGTTTGTTGTTTGTTTGTTTGTTGTTTGTCTGTTTGTTTGTTTGTCTGTTTGTTTGTTTGTTTGTTTGTTTGACTCAGGGATGGGCAATCAGATCCTCTTTCATATTCCAAATTGAAAGATACGAGACAAATATTTATGGAAAACACAATTAATATGAGGGGGACTGTCGTCCTTGGCGGAGTCTGTGCTCTCTGACTGCTTTTTTAGTTTTGTGTGTTTTGTACTTCAGAAGTTTTGGAGGGTTTAATGTTTGAATAATGGAATTGTGTTGTCTCTGATTTGAAAAGTAGAGCCATTATTTATGTGTATGTCATGTGTATATATATGTGTATATGTATGTGTATGTATGTAAGTATGTATGTATAGTATATATATATATATATATATATATATATATATATATATATATATATATATATATATATATATATATATATATATGTGTGTGTGTGTGTGTATGTATTAGAGCCCGACCGATATGGATTTTGTTGTGGCCGATATGAAACCATATATAATCGCCGATATATTCAGTGATGTAAAAATTCACTGTAAATCTTGAATTGATTAAAAAACTTAGGTTTGGCTCTAGTGGATTCTAAATTGGGTTTATTTAGGCAACATTTATTGTTATTTTGAGTCTTTACATCATATTTACAGACAGTAGTTTGGCCTAATGGCATTTTTGCATCACATTCTAGCTACTGTCACTGCTAGTGATGGGTATTCCAGTTTTTTTTTTTTTTTTTTTGGAGAACCGGCTCGGCTCAGTAAAGCAGCTGGCTCTTTCGGCTCCCAAGCGACTCTTGAGATTGTTTTGTTGCAAGCAGGACTAAACCAGAATTGAACCAGGACTGAGTGTTGGGACTCGGTTTCTATCTCTCTCCTTCACTCGAGCCCAAGATTAGTCCTGGTTTATTCATTTTATGCTGAACTGCAGCCAAATATGCACTTTTTTTATCCTATGCACATGCAGATTTCTGAAAGTTTTGTTTTCAGCCGCTGCTGCTGTCAAACTACGGGTCTACATGCGGCATGAAGAGAAAAAGTGAGAAAAAGAGAAAACACGACTCCCAATAAGAAACATTCTCCCGTTGTTCGCTTCAAAGAGCCGAATCTAAGAGCCGCTTCGATCATGACCGACCCATCACTACTAAATAGTAAATAAACTACCGCTATTAGCCTTTAGCCGTAAAAACGTGCGCACCGCGGCAATTAATTATATGCATAAATGTGGATCATTCACACGTCTATTCACAGCTCATTTACATATCAATGCTGGTCCAGTAACAAATATACGGCCAATATAATCACTTTACAATAGACCAATAGAAAACAGTGTGTTTATGTGCGGGAGCTACAGCAGCTAATCGCTAACAAAACCTAAACTAGCTTCAAAGTCGATGTATTTCCAACACTCAGACTCACACAGGCTCCTCCCACATCACACAGGCTCCTCCCACATCACACGTCTGCACTAATAAATGTCCTTTTTAATCCAGACTCAAACCGATTGTCCGTAAAAAGAAAATAATCTCAGTGTTGCGCACGGCTGCGGGTGTAAACAAACACACGCGAGTGAAGTTACGTGACTCTGGTGGTGTGTTCAGGGACAGTACGGACACAGACACAGACAAATTACACCGCAGATAAATACTGATGTGGAGCCACATATGAGGACATTTATCTGTGTGTAAATTGGATTAAATTAACATAATGTAGAGAGTCTAAGCTTTATAACGAGGTGTAACATGCCCACGTGAAATATCGGCCCCTATCAGCAAGCATATCGATAGCCGATATGTCTCCAGGTGCCCATATTGGCCGATAATATCGGCCAGCCGATATATCGGTCGGGCTCTAGTATGTATATGTATGTGCATCAGTTGTTATGATTATTTGTATATTTTGTTATCTGTTGTTACCTTTCATTGTTGGTACAAATGTGGTGCATGTATGTCCTGTTTTCCTGCAGAAAAAGACATTTATAAAATGTTACTGACCCCAGGAAGAATAGTTACTGTTCTTCAGTAGCTAATGGGGAACTAAATAAAAAACAAACAAACTAACAAATCTGGGACGGACCTGGGACGGACCTGGGACAGACCTGGGACAGACCTGGGACAGACCTGGGACAGACCTGGGATAGACCTGGGATGGGACAGACCTGGGACAGACCTGGGACAGACCTGGGACAGACCTGGGACAGACCTGGGACAGACCTGGGACAGACCTGGGACAGACCTGGGACAGACCTGGGACCTGGGACAGACCTGGGACAGACCTGGGATAGACCTGGGACAGACCTGGGACCTAGACCTGGGACAGACCTGGGACAGACCTGGGACAGACCTTGGGATAGACCTGGGGTAGACCTGGTTTGGACCTGGTTTGGACCTGGTTTAGACCTGGTTTGGACCTGGTTTGGACCTGGTTGGCCTGGTTTAGTCCGGGGTGGTTTTCTGGATGGACCTGGTTTGGACCTGGTTTATACCTGGTTTGGACCTGGTTTAGACCTGGTTTGGATCTGGTTTGGTCTGGGTTGGCCTGGTTTTAGTCCGGGGTGTGATCTTTCTGCAGAAGTGGACCTGGTTTCCTCCTCATTTCTGAGCTTTGAGTGTGAGCGGGTTTAGTCCGGACTCGTGTCCATATTAGGACTTTTTTAATTGCTGACTCTTTGTGTTTCTTTGAGTCCGTATCGGTTTAGTCCTGAGTCTGGACTTGGATCTGCTGCTGGACTCACTGTTGCTCCATAAACTTATGACTCATAAATAAACAGCAGAATTCCCAGACTTTCACTAAAGCTTTGCTCATGTGTGGAGGAAGTTCCCCACGAACACCCAGACCTGGTCCAGACCTGGTCCAGACCTGGTCCAGACCTGGTCCAGACCTGGTCCAGACCTGGTCCAGACCTGGTTTAGACCTGGTTTAGACCTGGTTTAGTCCTGGTTTAGTCCTGGTCTGGTCCTGGTCTGGTCCTGGTCCTGGTCCTGGTCTGATCCTGGTCCTGGTTCTGGTCTGGTCCTGGTCTGGTCCTGGTCCTGGTCCTGGTCCTGGTCTGGTCTGGTCTGGTCCTGGTCCTGGTTCTGGTCTGGTCTGGTCTGGTGGTTCTGGTCTGGTCCTGGTCCTGGTCCTGGTCCTGGTCCTGGTTCTGGTCTGGTCCTGGTCTGGTGCTGGTCTTGGTTCTGGTCTGGTTGTGACTCACATGTGTCCAGAGGAAGTGAGTGTTCTGGTCTGGTCTTGGTCTGGTTCTGTTGTTTGATGTGGTTCTGACCCGGCTCTGATGTGGTCCACACACCTGGGTCAGACGCTGCTTACTCAGGTCCAGCTGGAGTCCAGGTTCGGTCCAGCTGGAGTCCTGGGTTGGTCCTGGGTTGGTCCTGGTTTGACCCATAAAAATAAAATGACCTCATCTGAAGTCTGAGCCACAGTCACATGTGATCCGAACCCGAAAAGATCCGAACCCGAAAAGATCCGAACCCGAAAAGATCCAAACCCGAAAAGATCCGAACCCGAAAAGATCCAAACCCGAAAAGATCCAAACCCGAAAAGGGTTTGGATCTTGGATTTAGTCCTGTTTTAGTCCTGGTTTAGACCTGGTTTAGTTCTATTTTAGTCCTGGTCTGGTCCTGGTTTAGTCCTGGTTTAGTCCTTGTTTAGTCCTATTTTAGTCCTGGTTTAGTCCTGGTCTAGTCCTGGTTTAGTTCTATTTTAGTCCTGGTCTAGTCCTGGTTTAGTTCTATTTTAGTCCTGGTCTAGTCCTATTTTAGACCTGGTCTAGTCCTGTTTTAGTCCTGTTTAGTCCTGTTTTAGTCCTGGTTTAGTCTGGTTTAGTCTGGTTTAGTCTGGTTTAGTCCTGTTTAGTTTAGTCCTGGTTTTTCTGGTTTAGTCCTGGTTTAGTCTCTGTTTTAGTCCTGTTTTAGTCCTGGTCTAGTCCTGTTTTAGTCCTGGTTTAGTTCTGGTTTAGTCCTGGTTTAGTTCTCGTTTCTCTCCTGTAGTTCTTCTCTCCGCCTGTAGGTGTCCCCACAGCTCTGCTCATGTCGGTCTTAATCTGGTCCAGGTCTGTGGGTTTTGGACTAGACCAGGGTCACCGTGGTCCGGACTGAACCAGGTCAGGACCAGGTTTTACTGGGGTCTAATGGACATTTCCTCCACAAAACCAGGACTTGGGTCTGGTTTTGGTCTAGATAAGGACTTTGATGTGGTTTAAGATCCACCTGTCCCACTTTAGACAAAAACCAGACCAGGACCAGACCAGACCAGACCAGACCAGACCAGACCCAGACCAGACCAGAACCAGACCAGGACTAGACCAGAACCAGACCAAAGACCAGAAGAGAACCAGACCAGACCAGAACCAGACCAGACCAGACCAGACCAGACCAGAACCAGACCAGGACTAGACCAGAACCAGACCAAAGACCAGAAGAGAACCAGACCAGAACCAAACCAGACTAGACAGAACCAGAATGAAAACCAGGACCAGAACCAGACCAGACCAGAACCAGAATCAAAGAGGACCAGAATCAAACCAGACCAGAACCAGACCAGACCAGGACCAGACAAGACCAGACCAGGACCAGAACCAGACCAGACCAGACCAGGACCAGACTGGCAGAACCAGACCAGACAGACCAGACCAGACCAGACCAGACCAGACCAGAACCAGACCAGGACTAGACCAGAACCAGACCAAAGACCAGAAGAGAACCAGACCAGACCAGAACCAGAATCAAAAGCAGGACCAGAATCAAACCAGACAAGAACCAGACCCAGGACCAGAACCAGACCAAAGAGCAGACCAGGACCAGACTGGGATCAGAACCAGACCAGATCAGACCAGGACCAGACCAGGATCAGAACCAGACCAAAGACCAGGACCAGACCAAAACCAGACCAGGACCGGGACCAGACCAGGACTAGACCAGGCCAGACCCAGGCCAAAACCAGACGAAGACCAGACCAAAGACCAGGACCAGACCAGAACCAGACCAAAACCAGAACAGGACCGGGACCAGACCAGGACCAAACCAGGCCAGACCCAGGCCCGAACCAGACTAGAACCAGACCAGGACCAGACCAAAGATCAAACCAGAACCAGACCAAAGACCAGACCAAAGACCAGACCAGGACCAGACCAGGCCAGGACCAGACCAAAACCAGTCCAGGGCCGTGGCCAGACCTAGACCAGAACCAGGACCAGACCAGACCAGTTCTGTTGTGTGGACGGTCCAGTGTGTGTAGATGTTTATTTGATTTGGCTGCAGTGGTGAAGTTCTGGAGGTGAGACTCACACGGAGACGAACAGAGTCTGAGACTCTGAGACTCGGATCAGGATCACGGAGCCTCGTTTGTGTTGGACTTTTACTCCAGGGGAAAAATCCCTGCAGATTTGGGATGTGATTTGTCTGTGAGTCCTGGCGTCGGCTCAGATCTCAGATCTCTGCCGTTTCCCTCTTCAGACGCGGCTCCACATGAAACTGAAACATCATCAAAAATAATCACAGAGAAAAACCAAACACACGGATTTAAAAACCAACGCTGATCCTCAAATTTATACACACACACACGTCCTCACACGCCCTGATGCCCTCCACGTGTGTCTGTGCCCTCCACGTGTGTGTCTGTGACCCTCCACGTGTGTCTGTGCCCTCCACGTGTGTGTCTGTGCCCTCCACGTGTGTGTGTACCCTCCACGTGTGTCTGTACCTCCACGTGTGTGTCTGTACCCTCCACGTGTGTGTCTGTGCCCTCCACGTGTGTCTGTGCCCTCCACGTGTGTGTCTGTGCCCTCCACGTGTGTGTCTGTGCCCTCCACGTGTGTGTCTGTGCCCTCCACGTGTGTCTGTGCCCTCCACACGTGTGTCTGTGCCCTCAACGTGTGTGTCTGTGCCCTCCACGTGTGTGTCTGTGCCCTCCACGTGTGTCTGTGCCCTCCACGTGTGTGTCTGTGCCCTCCACGGTGTGTCTGTGCCCTCCACGTGTGTGTCTGTGCCCTCCACGTGTGTGTCTGTGCCCTCCACGTGTGTCTGTGCCCTCCACGTGTGTGTCTGTGTACCCTCCACGTGTGTCTGTGCCCTCCACACGTGTGTCTGTGCCCTCAACGTGTGTGTCTGTGCCCTCCCCGTGTGTCAGGTGCCCTCCCCGTGTGTCAGGTGCCCTCCACGTGTGTCAAGTGCCCTCCTCGTGTGTCTGTGCCCTGCACGTGTGTCTGTGCCCTCCACGTGTGTCAGGTGCCCTCCACGTGTGTCTGTGCCCTCCACGTGTGTCAGGTGCCCTCCACGTGTGTCAGGTGCCCTCCACATGTGTCTGTGCCCTCCACGTGTGTCTGTGCCCTCCACGTGTGTCAGGTGCCTTCTGGGGAGGGGAGTGTCTCTTTTGAAACACTAAATCTAATGTTTAAAATGTGTGTCCTTGTGTTATGTCATTGTGTCGTTGGTGTGTTATATTGTGTTGTTGTTGTATCATGTTGTGTTGTTGTATCATGTTGTGTTGTGTTGTTGTTGTTGTTGTTGTATCATGTTGTGTTGTTGTTGTGTTGTTGTATCATGTTGTGTTGTTGTATCATGTTGTGTTGTTGTTGTGTTGTTGTATCATGTTGTGTTATATTGTGTTGTTGTTGTTGTTGTTGTATCATGTTGTGTTGTTGTTGTTGTTGTATCATGTTGTGTTATATTGTGTTGTTGTTGTGTTGTTGTTGTTGTATCATGTTGTGTTGTTGTTGTGTTGTTGTATCATGTTGTGTTATATTGTGTTATTGTGTTGTTGTTGTTGTTGTATCATGTTGTTGTTGTTGTTGTATCATGTTGTGTTGTTGTTGTTGTGTTGTTGTTATATCATGTTGTGTTGTTGTGTTGTATCATGTTGTGTTATATTGTGTTGTTGTTGTATCATGTTGTGTTGTTGTTGTTGTTGTATCATGTTGTGTTGTTGTATCATGTTGTGTTGTTGTTGTTGTATCATGTTGTGTTGTTGTTGTTGTATCATGTTGTGTTGTTGTTGGTGTATCATGTTGTGTTGTTGTTGGTGTATCATGTTGTGTTGTTGTTGTGTTGTTGTATCATGTTGTGTTATATTGTGTTGTTGTTGTGTTGTTGTTGTTGTTGTATCATGTTGTGTTGTTGTTGTTGTATCATGTTGTGTTGTTGTTGTTGTATCATGTTGTGTTGTTGTTGTTGTATCATGTTGTGTTATATTGTGTTGTTGTTGTGTTATTGTTGTTGTATCATGTTGTGTTGTTGTTGTTGGTGTATCATGTTGTGTTGTTGTTGTTGTATCATGTTGTGTTATATTGTGTTGTTGTTGTGTTGTTGTTGTTGTATCATGTTGTGTTGTTGTTGTATCATGTTGTGTTGTTGTGTTGTTGTAGGTTATGGTCAGTCTGGTCCTTCGTCTCTCAGTCCTGGATACGACTCCATTTTGTCTGCAGTGTCGGGAATGATGCACATCACCGGACCTGAGGTAACACTGCACCTGTCACCTACACCTGTCACCTACACTGACACCTACACCTGTCACCTACACCTGTCATCTACACCTGCCACCTACACCTGTCACCTGACACCTGTCACCCACACCTGTGTGTGACAGGACCTCTCACCTGTCTGTGTGTGACAGGGACGCTCACCTGTCTGTGTGTGACAGGGACGCTCACCTGTCTGTGTGTGACAGGGATGCTCACCCGTCTGTGTGTGACAGAGTCCTCACCTGTGTGTGTGTGACAGGGCCCTCACCTGTCTGTGTGTGACAGGGACCTCACCTGTCTGTGTGTGACAGGGACCTCACCTGTGTGTGTGTGTGTGTGAGACAGGGACACTCACCTGTCTGTGTGTGACAGGGCCCTCACCTGTCTGTGTGTGACAGGGCCCTCACCTGTCTGTGTGTGACAGGGCCTCTCACCTTTGTGTGTGTGACAGGGACACTCACCTGTGTGTGTGTGACAGGGACACTCACCTGTGTCTGTGTGTGTGACAGGGACACTCACCTGTGTCTGTGTGTGTGACAGGGACACTCACCTGTGTGTGTGTGTGACAGGGACACTCACCTGTGTGTGTGACAGGGACATTCACCTGTGTGTGTGTGACAGGGACACTCACCTGTGTGTGTGTGACAGGGCCTCTCACCTGTGTGTGTGTGTGACAGGGCCTCTCACCTGTGTGTGTGTGTGACAGGGCCCTCACCTGTGTGTGTGTGACAGGGCCTCACCTGTGTCTGTGTGTGACAGGGCCCTCACCTGTGTCTGTGTGTGACAGGGCCCTCACCTGTGTGTGTGTGACAGGGCCTTACCTGTGTGTGTGTGATAGGGCCTCACCTGTGTGTGTGTGATAGGGCCTCACCTGTGTGTGTGTGTGTGTGACAGGGCCCTCACCTGTCTGTGTGTGACAGGGACACTCACCTGTGTGTGTGTGTGACAGGGACACTCACCTGTGTGTGTGTGACAGGGCCTCACCTGTGTGTGTGTGACAGGGACACTCACCTGTGTGTGTGTGACAGGGACACTCACCTGTGTGTGTGTGACAGGGCACTCACCTGTGTGTGTGTGTGACAGGGCCTCACCTGTGTGTGTGTGTGACAGGGCCCTCACCTGTCTGTGTGTGACAGGGCCCTCACCTGTCTGTGTGTGACAGGGCCTCATCTGTGTGTGTGTGACAGGGACACTCACCTGTGTGTGTGTGTGTGACAGGGCCCTCACCTGTGTGTGTGTGTGACAGGGACACTCACCTGTGTGTGTGTGTGACAGGGACACTCACCTGTGTGTGTTTGTGTGACAGGGCCCTCACCTGTGTGTTTGTGTGACAGGGCCCTCACCTGTGTGTGTGTGACAGGGACACTCACCTGTGTGTGTGTGACAGGGACACTCACCTGTCTGTGTGTGTGACAGGGACACTCACCTGTGTGTGTGTGACAGGGACACTCACCTGTCTGTGTGTGTGACAGGGCCTCACTTGTGTGTGTGTGACAGGGCCTCACCTGTGTGTGTGTGTGACAGGGACACTCACCTGTCTGTGTGTGTGACAGGGACACTCACTTGTGTGTGTGTGACAGGGCCTCACCTGTGTGTGTGTGACAGGGACACTCACCTGTCTGTGTGTGTGACAGGGCCTCACTGTGTGTGTGTGTGACAGGGCCTCACCTGTGTGTGTGTGACAGGGACACTCACCTGTCTGTGTGTGTGACAGGGCCTCACCTGTGTGTGTGTGACAGGGCCTCACCTGTGTGTGTGTGACAGGGCCCTCACCTGTGTGTGTGTGACAGGGCCCTCACCTGTCTGTGTGTGACAGGGCCCTCACCTGTCTGTGTGTGACAGGGCCCTCACCTGTGTGTGTCTGACAGGGACACTCACCTGTCTGTGTGTGACAGGCCCTCACCTGTCTGTGTGTGACAGGGCCCTCACCTGTCTGTGTGTGACAGGGCCCTCACCTGTCTGTGTGTGACAGGCCCTCACCTGTCTGTGTGTGACAGGCCCTCACCTGTCTGTGTGTGACAGGGCCCTCACCTGTGTGTGTGTGACAGGGCCTCACTTGTGTCTGTGTGTGACAGGGGGGTGACCCGGTGCGACCTGGTGTGGCGATGACAGATTTGGCGACTGGACTTTACGCTCACGGCGCCGTCATGGCCGCCCTGCTCCAGAGACACAAGACCAAGACCGGAGCCCACATCGACTGTAACCTGCTCTCCTCTCAGGCAAGACCAAGACCAAGACCAGGACCAGGACCAAGACCAAGACCAGGACCAAGACCAGGACCAAGACCAGACCAAGACCAAGACCAGGACTAAACCCACATCGACTGTAACCTGCTCTCCTCTCAGGCAAGACCAGGACCAGGACCAAGACCAGGACCAAGACCAGGACCAAGACCAGGACCAGGACCAAGACCAGGACCAAGACCCGGACCAAGACCCGGACCAAGACCAGGACCAAAACCAGTACCAAAACCAGGACCAAGACCAAGACCAGGACTAAACCCACATCGACTGTAACCTGCTCTCCTCTCAGGCAAGACCAAGACCAAGACCAGGACCAAGACCAGGACCAAGACCAGGACCAAGACCCGGACCAAGACCCGGACCAAGACCCGGACCAAGACCAGGACCAAAACCAGGACCAGGACCAAGACCAGGACCAAGACCATTACCAAGACCAGGACCAGGACCAAGACCAGGACCAGGACTAAACCCACATCGACTGTAACCTGCTCTCCTCTCAGGCAAGACCCGGACCAGGTCTAAACCAGGTCTAAACCAGGTCTAAACCAGGTCTAAACCAGGTTTAAACCGGGTCTAGATCCACTGGTGCTGGGTCTGTCAGAGTGGAGACAGTGAAAGTTGCATCTGTGTCTTGTTTTCTTGAGCTCTTCATCTTTGTGGTTTCATTTCCCACAATGCACCTCTCCACAGCTCGCCACAAGAACTAGGACTAAACCAGAACCAGACCAGAACCAAACCAGGACCAGAGCCAGACTAAACACGGCTCGAGTCAAAGCACAGATTTATATTGCTCAAGTTAGGGCCACTTTATTTTACACTGGGAGTAATTCTGGTTTAGTCCTGGTTTAGTCCTGGTGCAGTCCTGGTGCAGTCCTAGTTTAGTTCTAGTTTAGACCTGGTTTAGACCTGGTTTAGTCGTGTTTCACACAAATGAATCAGTCACACACAAAACAACACAAACGACTGACTGGTGTAAAGTGTAGAGAGCAGAGTAAAGTGCAGAGTGTAAGGTGTAAAGTGCAGAGTGTAAAGTGCAGAGTGTAAAGTGCAGAGTGTAAGGTGTAAAGTGCAGAGTGTAAAGTGCAGAGTGTAAAGTGCAGAGTGTAAAGTGCAGAGTGCAGAGTGTAAAGTGTTGAAATAGCAGTGTGGATTCTGGGTTGTGTGAAGTTGTTGTGGAGGTGGTGCTTGGACGTTCACGTGGAGCAGCTTCAGCTTCAAACAAACATTTGACCCAGAGCAGAGTGAGGAGCCTGACAGCAGCAGGTTTTTACTCTCACACTGAACCGGAGCCAGAGTCGGTGGAGCCGGGAGCGCGCTCGTGCTCGCTCTGTGTGTTTGGAACGCGGTGGCTCACGGGTCAGCGGCGTCCGTCTGTGCAAACACAGGTGAAGTGTGTGTGAAGTGTGTGTGAAATGTGGGAGAGCGTGTGAAAGAGCGCGTTTCCAGGGCCGGTCAGAGGAGGCGCTGACAGCTGCGAGTGGGACGTCCCACTGGAGACGAAGAGTCCCATTAAAGTGAAGAGGAAGAGCAGAGAGGAGACGACAAGACGATTTACTCAGACGACGGAAGAAAAGACAGACGACAGAGGAAAGAGGGAGGAGGGAGGAGGGGAAGGAGAGAGGAAGGGAGGGACAGAACGAGGGGGAGGAGAGAGAGAGAGAGGAAAGATGGGGGGGGGGGGAGAACAAATGTAAAAGCAGAACTTGTTTTTGTCATGAGACCCAGGACACACTCAGGACTGACCTGTGCACACTGTGATACACTAGACCAACACACAAGCCCCGCCCACACTGACCCTGTCCATACAAGCCCGCCCACACAGACCCCGCCCACACTGACCCTGTCCACACAAGCCCCGCCCACACAGACCCCGCCCACACAAGCCCGCCCACACTGACCCTGTCCACACAAGCCCCGCCCACACTGACCCTGTCCACACAAGCCCCGCCCACACAGACCCCGCCCACACAGACCCCGCACACACACTGACCCCACCCACACTGACCCTGTCCACACAAGCCCCGCCCACACTGACCCTGTCCACACAAGCCCCGCCCACACAGACCCCGCACACACTGACCCCACCCACACTGACCCTGTCCACACAAGCCCCGCCCACACTGACCCTGTCCACACAAGCCCCGCCCACACAGACCCCGCACACACTGACCCCACCCACACTGACCCTGTCCACACAAGCCCCGCCCACACTGACCCCGCCCCACTGACCCCGCTCACACTGACCCCACACACACTGACCCCGTTCACACAAGCCCCGCCCACACTGACCCTGTCCACACAAGCCCCGCCCACACTGACCCCGCCCACACTGACCCCGCCCACACTGACCCCACCCACACAGACCCCGCCCACACAAGCCCCGCCCACACTGACCCTGTCCACACAAGCCCCGCCCACACTGACCCCGCCCACACTGACCCCGCTCACACTGACCCCACACACACTGACCCCGTTCACACTGACCCCACACACACTGACCCCGTCCACACTGACCCCACACACTCTGACCCCGTACACTCTGACCCCGTTCACACTGACCCCACACACACAGACCACGTTCACACTGACCCCGTTCACATGTGTGTGCAGGTGTCCTGTCTGAGTCACATCGCTGCAAACTTCCTAAACTCTGGACAAGAGGCCAAACGCTGGGGCACCGCCCACGGGAGCATCGTCCCCTACCAGGTACTACTACTACTGCAGTACTCTTACTACAACCACTACTGCAGTACTACTACTACTACTGCAGTACTACTACTACTACTACTGCAGTACTACTACTACTACTACTACTGCAGTACTACTACTACTACTGCAGTACTACTACTACTGCAGTACTACTACTACTACTACTACTGCACTACTACTACTACTACTGCAGTACTACTACTACTACTGCAGTACTACTACTACTACTACTACTTACTACTGCAGTACTACTACTACTACTGCAGTACTACTACTACTGCAGTACTACTACTACTGCAGTACTACTACTACTACTGCAGTACTACTACTACTGCAGTACTACTACTACTGCAGTACTACTACTACTACTGCAGTGCTACTACTACTACTACTACTGCAGTACTACTACTACTGCAGTACTACTACTACTACTACTACTGCAGTACTACTACTACTGCAGTACTACTACTACTACTACTACTACTGCAGTACTACTACTACTACTACTACTACTACTGCAGTACTACTACTACTACTGCAGTACTACTACTACTACTGCAGTACTACTACTACTGCAGTACTACTACTACTACTGCAGTACTACTACTACTACTGCAGTACTACTACTACTACTACTACTACTACTGCAGTACTACTACTACTACTACTGCAGTACTACTACTACTACTACTACTACTACTACTGCAGTACTACTACTACTACTACTACTACTACTACTGCAGTACTAACTACTACTGCAGTACTACTACTACTACTACTACTACTACTACTACTACTACTACTACTACTACTACTGCAGTACTACTACTACTACTGCAGTACTACTACTACTGCAGTACTACTACTACTACTACTACTGCAGTACTACAGTACTACTACTACTACTGCAGTACTACTACTACTGCAGTACTACTACTACTACTGCAGTACTACTACTACTACTGCAGTACTACTACTACTACTACTGCAGTACTACTACTACTACTACTACTACTACTGCAGTACTACTACTACAACTACTACTGCAGTACTACTACTACAACCACTACTGCAGTACTACTACTACTGCAGTACTACTACTGCAGTACTACTACTACAACTACTACTGCAGTACTACTACTACTGCAGTACTACTACTACAACCACTACTGCAGTACTACTACTACAACTACCACTACTGCAGTACTACTACTACAACCACTACTGCAGTACTACTACTACTACTACTGCAGTACTACTACTACTGCAGTACTACTACTGCAGTACTACTACTACTACTACTGCAGTACTACTACTACTACTACTGCAGTACTACTACTACTACTACTGCAGTACTACTACTACTGCAGTACTACTACTACTGCAGTACTACTACTACAACCACTACTGCAGTACTACTACTACTGCAGTACTACTACTACAACCACTACTGCAGTACTACTACTACAACCACTACTGCAGTACTACTACTACTGCAGTACTACTACTACAACCACTACTGCAGTACTACTACTACTACTACTACTGCAGTACTACTACTACAACCACTACTGCAGTATTACTACTACAACCACTAACACTACTGCTACTGTACTACAAATACTACTGATACTGCCATTGCTACTGTACAACTAATACCGATACTACTAGTGTCGTAGTACTCGAGACCGGCCTTGGTCTGGGTCTCGTCTTGGACTCAACCACGTTTGGACTCGGTCCTGGATCAGTTTTGAAGGCACTTGGACTGAGTCTTGTCTCGGTCTCGAGGTCGGACACAGGATGAGTGATAAATGGAGATAGATTTATAAAAACATTGATATATTTTTGCCTGAATAATTGTAAAATGCAAATAAATGTAGAAAATAACAAAGACGGTCTTGATTTGGTCTTGATGGTCCGTGGTCTCCGTCGTGTCCCGGTCTCGTCTCGGTCTCGTCTCGGTCTTTGTCTCGGTCTTTGTCTCGGTCTCGGGACCCTGTGGTCTTGGATTGGTCTTGGTCTCGATTGGTGCGTCTAAACTACAACACAAACTACGACTCTTCCTACTCGCCCCACGAGAGCTTTACATCATTACCAGGTACTACTGCAGTACTTCTTATACTTCATACTACTTATACTTCTCATACTTCTTATACTTCTCATACTTCTTATACTTCTCATACTTCTCATACTTCTTATACTACTACTTATATTCTTATACTTCTTATACTTCTTATACTTCTTCTCTTATACTTCTTTACTATACTTCTTATACTTCTTATACTTCTTCTCTATACTTCTTTATACTACTTATACTTCTCATACTTCTTATACTTCTTATACTACTTCTCATACTTCTTATACTACTTATACTTCTCATACTTCTTATACTTCTTATACTTCTCATACTTCTTATACTACTTATACTTCTTATACTTCTCATACTTCTTATACTTCTCATACTTCTTATACTTCTTATACTTCTCATACTTCTTATACTACTTATACTTATACTTCTCATACTTCTTATACTTCTTATACTTCTCATACTTCTATACTTCTTATACTATCTTCTCTATACTTCTCATACTTCTCATACTTCTCATACTTCTCATACTTCTCATACTTCTTATACTTCTTATACTTCTCTTATACTCTTATACTACTTATACTTCTCATACTTATACTTCTTATACTTCTTCATACTTATACTCTCATACTACTTATACTTCTATACTTATACTTCTCATACTTATACTTCTCATACTTCTCATACTTCTTATACTTCTTATACTTCTCATACTTCTCATACTTCTTATACTTCTATACTTCTCATACTTCTCATACTTCTCATACTTCTTATACTTCTTATACTTCTTATACTTCTTATACTTCTCATACTTCTTATACTTCTCATACTTCTCATACTTCTTATACTTCTTATACTTCTCATACTTCTTATACTTCTTATACTTCTCATACTTCTCATACTTCTCATACTTCTTATACTACTTATACTTCTTATACTTCTCATACTTCTTATACTACTTATACTTCTCATACTTCTTATACTACTTATACTTCTCATACTTATACTTCTTATACTTCTCATACTTATACTTCTCATACTACTTATACTTCTTATAGTTCTTATACTTTTTCACTTCTTATACTTCTCATACTTATACTTCTCATACTTATACTTCTCATACTTCTCATACTTCTTATACTTCTTATACTTCTTATACTTCTTATACTTCTTATACTTCTCATACTTATACTTCTCATACTTATACTTCTCATACTTCTCATACTTCTTATACTACTTATACTTCTTATACTTCTTATACTTCTTATACTTCTCATACTTCTTATACTTCTACTTATACTTCTCTTACTTCTTATACTACTTATACTTCTCATACTTATACTTCTTATACTTCTCATACTTATACTTCTCATACTACTTATACTTCTTATACTTATACTTCTCATACTTATACTTCTCATACTTCTCATACTTCTTATACTTCTTATACTTCTTATACTTCTTATACTTCTCATACTTATACTTCTTATACTTCTCATACTTCTTATACTACTTATACTTCTTATACTTCTCATACTTCTCTTTCATACTTCTTCATACTTCTTCATACTTCTTATACTTCTTATACTTCTTATACTTCTTATACTTCTTCTTACTATACTTCTCATACTTCTCATACTTCTCATACTTCTTATACTACTTATACTTCTTATACTTCTTATACTTCTTATACTACTTATACTTCTTATACTTCTTATACTTCTTATACTTCTCATACTTATACTTCTTATACTTCTTATACTTATACTTATACTTCTCATACTTATACTTATACTTCTTATAGTTCTTATACTTTTTCACTTCTTATACTTCTCATACTTATACTTCTCATACTTATACTTCTCATACTTCTCATACTTCTATACTTCTTATACTTCTTATACTTCTTATACTTCTTATACTTCTCATACTTATACTTCTCATACTTCTCATACTTCTCATACTTCTCATACTTCTTATACTTCTTATACTTCTCATACTTCTTATACTTCTCATACTTCTTATACTTCTTATACTTCTTATACTTCTTATACTTCTTATACTTCTTCTTATACTTCTTATACTTCTTTATACTTCTTATATACTTCTTATACTTCTTTATACTTCTCATACTTCTTATACTTCTTATACTTCTTATACTTCTTATACTTCTTATACTTCTTATACTTCTTATACTTCTTATACTTCTTATACTTATACTTCTCGAGACCTTCTCAAAACTAAGTCATAATCAGGTTTTTGTTTTTCAAGATTTTGTTGCTTTTGTGAAAAAGGTCGACTGACTAAACGAGGAGGGAGTTTGGTCGAGGAGCTCGAACGTGTGAGAGAAACAAAAACAAAAACAAACGCGCTGATTTTGGTTCATCTCCTCAGTCGCAGCAGAAGTTGGGCAGAAGGTTTTGGCCCGAGTTCCAGAGATGTTTTTTTTTTTCTGATCTGTGTCGTGTTCGTTTTTTCGAGCGGAGCGGACGTGACTGCTGTGCGGCCGTCACCGTGGCGACGGGTACACAAACGCTCGCCGTCGACGAGCTTCACGCGGAGAACGTTTGGAGTGAACAGGCTTTTCCCGCGTTCCTCACAAACGGCAGACGTGTGGGAACGTTCCTCCGGATGCTCCTCTCACACACCACGGACGTCAGGCTGGGGGTGTTCTACATGCGTGTCTATGACAGAATGTTCAGCACACGTGAGCTCTGTCAAAAAACAGTTTTAAAATATGGAGTAAAAAAAAGCTTTCGTGTCCATATTTGTCTGTAGGTAAGAGTGAAATAAATATTGGTAAACCAGAGCTAAACCAGGACTAAACCAGGACTATAACAGGACTAAACCAGCACTGAACCAGGACTAAACCAGGACTATAACAGGACTAAACCAGCACTGAACCAGG